TTTTGAGCAATGTACTTAGGTTCTCCATAATATAAGCACAAACCTTCTTGACGATTACGAGTCTATTCTTACTCAGTAAGAGGTTTGAAATGTACTGCATCAATTGGCATATCTTCTACTTCCAAATGTATGTGTTGAAGAGATGTTGGTGTTGCTATTGAATTGTAGTTATGTTGAAGTCTACTTATATGGTTCTTAGATCAGAATTCAAAAAGGTGATTGACGCACTTTACAACAAAGTCAATTGCTTGACTCAATGTTTGAGGATTAGATAAGTTGAGCATTAATTTTTTTACCTCATATTATAATCCATAGAGAAATTGGCTAATGAGTGCAGCATCATCCCACTTAATATCAGTTGTAAGTTGTCAAAATTGTGAAGCATACAACATTACTGATCGATTGCCTTGTCGTAAAATATGGATCTTATTGGTTGCAACACGAATTGCATCATGTTCTCCATACATGGATCGAAACTCCGCCAAAAAAGCCTCTAGATTATCCAATATTGGATCTCATCGTTCAAGAAAAGATGAAAACCATGATAATGCTAAACCTCAAAGAAGCGTATAAATGAATCTAACTTGCGATCTTCAAGTTGGATAGCTTTGGGATTGAAGTTCAATCACAAGTTGCACTTAATTGATAAATCCTCTAAACTATGATCTGGTACCATCAAACTTCTCAAAGAAGGGAATTCTTGGTTTTCTAACACTGGAAGGGCATTCCACCATAGGAGAAGGGATATGATTTGGTGCAGATGTTGAAGCAGCTCCAATCATTTCTATATCTTCACTTCCTGCTAATTTTGTTGCTCCTTGTGGTAGTAATTTGAGTTGATGCATCGTAAGCATTAACTTCCTCAATTTCTCTTCCGTTTGTGCCATTGCATTCTTCATTTCAGCAAGTTCTACCATGATAACACTTAGAAAAGAGAAGATGTCTAATATCGCTCAAGTCAAAAAGAAGAGAGGACTTGAGAACAAAGAAAATACTAAAGACAATATGAGTTTAGAAGAGGGTAATCCGCAACTTCTAATATGCTTATGTCTTATTAAAAAAAAAGGATAATCCACTCTTAATCAAGATTAGATAAAGCTCTGATATTGTAAATGTATTCTTGTCAATCTGTCAAGGACAAGAACACGATAAAGATAAATAAACAAGTGAGACTTCTCTCAAAGAAAGATAACAAAATAGAAATAACTAGATATATATATATATATATATATATATATAGATAAGAAAGAAACTAGAATGGATATTGCCAAAAAGCCAAGAAAACTAGAGACCTTTGAAACTAGATTGGAAGCAAGAAAAGAGTTGACAAGAGTGAAAAAGGCTTCACTCTTGTCTCTATATATACTATCTTATTAGGAGCTACGTGGCGACGTTCTATAGGACCTCCAATATGCATTGACTTTGTAGGACACATGCTTTGATTTACAAAGCAAGTTTTTGTGCGTGTAGGCCACATAGTTAGCTTGGTCTTCAAGCTAATAACATGTGTGGCACATGGCTAACTTGTTGATCACTTTTCTAATCCCAAAAAGTCAATTAAAGACACCTACAAAGTCAAAGCAGCGACTATGAAGCTTCGAGGAAGCTTTCATATCAAATACTATAGAATTAACTTATTTTTATATACTTTTACTTACTTCTACATATTTATATATGTAAATATTGGCTTATATGCGTATATCCGTGACAATAGGTTACACTCTTTAATTTTTGAAATCTATACCATTGTCCTTGTTTGCAATCCCAACTACCTTTTCAAGTATTTGTTAATCCCTTAATTCCTTCTTTAACTGGACTTGACGTTTCAATCCTCGTAAAAATGAGTCTATGATCTCAGTCTTTGAAATGTTGCCAATTTAAAGATGTAAGGACTTAAATTGGGAGATATAATCTTGTATTGACTTGGATTATCTAATTTTAGCTAATTGATTGTTTCTTCACTTCTCTACATTGATGGACTGAAATTGATTTCTAAACTTGGTCTCAAACTTCTCATTGTCACTAAATCTGCCATAGGACTTTGGTACTAATTTTGAGAAATTTTTCATAGCTTCAAATGTAAAAGGCAGCCAAAGACTTTGTACAATCATGTGATATTTGTTCAAGATTCAAAATTCCTTGCCATTGATCTTATGGACTTCTTCAACCATTACTTATTCTAGAATAACCATGATCTTTTGTTTCTAAAGACTTTATCATAGATCTTCTAGTCTCAAGTTTATATGATTCTATATTCATAGTAGTAGATTGTTTTATCAAAATGGCACATTTTGTACTATATACAAAATCTATTACAAGTGAAAAAATGGCTAAGTTTTTTTTTAATAACATCTATTGTTATTATGGATTGTCTAAAGATATTATATTGGATAGGGCGACTCAATTTGTATCTAGATTTTGGAGAATTCTTTTCAAGATTTTAAAGGTGGATATAAAGCTTTCTTTGGCTTGTCATCCTCAAAATGATGGGCAAATAGAATAAGTAAATCAAGTTTTGGAGCAATATTTGAGATATACCATCAACTATCTTGAAGATGATTGGATAACACTTTTACCATTAATAGAGTTTACATACAATAATTTGGTATATTCTTCCACTCAATTAATATTTTTTTTTTAATTAGTTATGGTTATCATCCATGATTTGATATTTTTGACTTTTCAAAAGTTGACAATCTTATAGCAAAAGATTTAATAAATCATTTGTTAGAGCTATATGCAATAATGAAGACATAGTTAAAGAAAACTCAAGAACAACAAAAAACTAATGCAGATGCTTATCGCAAAGAAAAACTACAATTCAACGTGGGTGACAAGACATAGTTACTTCATTGTAATATCAAGTCTACTTGTTCTTGTGACAAGTTGGATTATTATAGGCTTCGACTTTTTTTCTATTTGTAAATAAGTCAATCTTGTTGCTTATCAATTATATCTATTGAATTCTATGAAAATCTATCTTGTATTCCATGTGTCTTTTTTAAAGCCATACAAGATAGTGAATATCTTGAAAATAAGACAAATACCACCTCCTTCCATAGAAATGAATAATAATTAAGAATTCAAGTTGGAAGAAGTCTTAGATTCAAGGTGACGCCAAAATAGATTAGAATGTGTTGTTCATTGGCATGAATATGATATTAGTGAACGTACATGAGAACCAACAAAGAGTCTTACAAATGCAATTAAGAAAATTAAAGCTTTTTATTGACGACATCCATGAAAACTAAGATGAAAAATAACAAATTTTTGCTATAAAAGAAACAAGATCTAAAGAATAAAGAATTCTATCTTCTACTCTGGTTTGTAATTTCTATGTATTTGTGATACTAAGGAGAGGGAGAATCAACAACTAATAGATTCAACTCAAGAGCTATCACTTGCTGACTTATAAGATGAGACATTGCAATTGTTACAACCTTCAAGATGACATAATCAAGATGAAGATCCTCAAGAATGACATGTCCTTCCTCAAATAGATGGCGAGATATAACATGGTTGGTATCACAACCTTGGAAGAAACTCCCAATATTTGATGATATTATTACAATTAGGAACAACCCTTGATGGTAATCCAAATGTTTTATTTGAAGGGAGTTATGAAGGCTTCAACATTATACTCTTGTAAACACCTTTTTAGTCTTTAGTCTTTAGTCTTGTTTCAAGACTTTTTAGTCTTCTTGTTTTCGGCAACAACCATTTTAATTTAATATCATGTCATCTTTGGATGACTTATTAGTTCTTTTGAATGGCACAAGAGTGTATTAAGGATTTCTTTCTTCAAGATTCATGTCCATGACACATATTAGAATGTGGTTAACTAGTATGAAAAATCCTCAAAAAAAATATAACATTAAATGGATGTGAATAAAACCTTATTAAAAAAGAGAGAAAGATCTGAAATAGCAAATAAAATCTTTGAGATACAAATAGATGTATCACTACATGAAACCCTAGACATCCATGAAAAAGCTTAATAATCCATGAACTTGAAGCTAATAACCAAGTGCTCTTAGAAAAGCTTACAAACTTTGCTATGAGTTTCACCTCAATACATAAGGAGCTTGGATGCCTTTATTACCTATAACAAATTAATGGAAAGGGTAATCCCATTTGTGCCAAAATAAAAATACAATAAGAAGTACTGTACACCAGAAACTCAGAGAGCGGCACCCGGACAAAAGCAACCAAACCCTGCGACGTTGGAAACAGACCTCGCAACTCGCGAAACTCAAGCAACGCTGCCTGCGCAATCTGATACGGAGCATAATGACCCACACCGCGAAACGAGAACGTGGTGCCCTACCGCTGAACGCATGGAAGCCTGCGAGCACCAGACAAAAGTCTCCCCCGAATCCCGAGGGAAAAGCACTCCCGAGCAAGTGTGACCGGCGGAGGGTCGCGACACTCTCGCATCCCCCTCCAACCCAGTGCCACGATTCCCGCGGCCTTGTGCGGCTTCGGATCCTGAATTAGGTCTCCGCCTCGTCATTCTCCTTCTCCTTCTGCCGTGCACTCTGTCGAAGGATGCCCTAACATTATGCCACATCGACGTGTCTGCGCCGGTTCCCGTATCAACTGCGGCATACCGACTGCTGAGCCTATGACCGATCGAAATAGGTGCTGTGCCCCTGTGTTCAAAAGTAGGTGGAGCTGCTTGTGGCTTCAAGTCGGATTTGACCAGCTCCACTTGCAACGACTTCACGATTCACGGTTTGCCGCAACTGATACCTCCCGGTTTGGCACACCAGGGCTGGAGCATCCAGTGACAAGCATTGATGACTTGTGAGTGGGCCGGTGCCGCCCTCCCTGCGCATCCAATTTAGAATCGGCATACGAGTTCCAAAAGAGTGGGGTCCAACCTCGTTGAGCCGCGGCGAGACGGGAACCGACGAACCCACGGCTCCAGTTCACTGATCCGCGTTCGTCGGGCGTCCACTAGCCGTCGCCCAGGCCTCGCTCTTATATGCAACCCGCCTGCCCTCCCTTCCTAGAGTGGCACTCACAGCATCCCGCCTCCCGCCCGGTATCGTGTTTCATACACCGTAAGTTCGGCGGATGCGCGCATCCGCGGTCTGACCCAAATCGCAGTGTGTGGAATATCTTCGACTGAAGTGCTTGTTCACGCTGGTGTGCTGCTGGTGGGAAGTCGCCCACTCAGCGGTTTAGAGATCAGCTGGCCTCAGCTGCTGTTCTGGTTGCCATCCGAAGCTCGGACCAGGGCGAGAGGTCCTGGAGGAGAGGTGGTTGAATTGCGGATCAGTGAGGGATCTTGTAGTGGATTGCCGGCCAGGTTGACGTGCGGGGCGATAGTGGTGGCAGCTCAAGATGGCGGACCAGTCGGCGTCTGGAGTGGGAAACAAGAACGCCAAGGGCGATCCCGGAACGTCCATGCATGGCGTGACGGGAAAGGAGCCCGTGTACGCGTTCTCCGTTCTCCAGGCCGCCAAGGCCAAGCCAGACCCGGATGCGGCGAAGTTCGCACTGCCGGTGGACTCTGAGCACAAGGCCACGACGATGAGAATTTACAGCTTCAGGGCACCGCACATGCTCACCTTCCACCTGTCTTGGTTCTCTTTCTTCACCTGTTTCTTGTCGACGTTTGCGGCGCCTCCGCTGATTCCCGTCATCCGGGACAACCTGAATCTCGACAAGGGAGACATTGGACATGCTGCCATCGCGTCGGTGTCTGGTAAGAACTCACTCACTGTGTCAGCAATGTCCGAGCCGCGGTCTTGAGTCCTAGTGCTGCTTGAGGTGGGCAGGTCGGGGAACCCGAGAATCAGGTCTCCGCAGCCAGCTCACGAGGGCCGGTGATGTGCATGCTGAGGTGGTCGAGGATGTGTGGAGCTCGGAGTTGGCGTAGCTGCAAGTTTGTGTGCGGTCTGTGGTCGCACGGAGTGCTGATGTGCGTGTGGATGCATGGCAGGCTCGATTCTGTCCAGGTTGCTGATGGGAAGCATATGCGACCTGATTGGCCCGCGGTACGGGTGCGCATTCCTGGTGATGATCATTTCGCCAGCCGTGTACGCAATGGCGTCGGTGGAGACGGCTGCGGGATTCACAGCGGTGAGGTTCTTCATCGGGTTCTCGCTGGCGACGTTCGTGTCTTGCCAGTACTGGATGAGTTCCATGTTCAACGGCAAGATCGTGGGAACCGCGAACGGGATTGCCGCGGGTTGGGGCAACCTGGGGGGCGGGGCGACGCAATTGATCATGCCGCTGGTGTACGCGTTGATCAAAGACAGGTGGGTCGTCTTTTGGAGAACCCCCAATTCGTCTGTTGACTGTGGGATTACATGGTGGTCTAGTTGTTGGTGAAGTTTGTGCCTAGAATCATGGGAGCGTCGAGCTTGTGGCATGCCAGCTGAGGTTGTGGCACTTTTTATGAGTGGAACGCACCACCTGAATCGTGTTTGGGTTGTGCTGGAACAGCTTTAAATCCCCAAGCTTCACGGCGTGGCGCCTGGCGTTCTTCCTGCCCGGCGTGATGCACACTACGATCGGTCTGATGGTGTTGTTTCTGGGACAAGACCTTCCCGACGGCAACTTCAAAGAGCTGGAGGCGCAAGGAACCAAGGCCAAAGACAGCTTCAGAAAGGTGGGTTCCTCTACTCGTGCGAGCGAATTCCGCGTTGCCTCGCGGGAATGCTGTGCCGGGCACGGTGCGGGCGTGACTTCCGCAACGTCCGAAACACTGGGTGGGTTCTAACAGCGTCGTGACTGTGAAACTGCAGGTGTTCGTGAATGCTGTGACGAACTACAGGACGTGGATTCTCTTGATCACGTACGGGTACTGCTTCGGAGTGGAGCTGACCGTGGACAACATCATTGCGGAGTACTTCCACGATCGGTTCAACCTCAGTCTGTCCAGCGCTGGAATCATTGCGTCCAGCTTCGGGTTCATGAACATTGTTTCTCGGCCGCTGGGAGGGATTCTGTCGGACATTGTGGCGGTGAGGTTCGGAATGCGGGGACGGTTGTGGAACTTATGGATCATCCAGACGCTGGGAGGCGTGTTCTGCATTATTCTGGGCAAGACGGCTGCGCTGGGGCCTGCCATCGGGGTCATGATCGTGTTTTCGTTCTTCGTTCAGGCCGCTTGCGGAGCCACGTTCGGAGTGATTCCGTTCGTGTCCCGGCGGTCGCTGGGCGTGATCTCGGGGTTCACCGGGGCGGGAGGCAACCTGGGTGCGGTGATGACGCAGACGATATTCTTCACGCAGGCGACGTACCACACGGAGGTGGGGATCGAGTACATGGGCATCATGATCATCTGCGTCACGGCGTTGGTGTTGTTCGTGTGGTTCCCTCAGTGGGGAGGCATGGTCTTCCCGTCGTCGAAGATGTCGGAGGAGGACTACTACGCGTCGGAGTACAGCGAAGGGGAGCAGGATCAGGGGATGCATGAGGCGAGCATGAAGTTTGCGGAGAACTCGAAGTCGGAGCGAGGGAGGAGGAAGGGCAGCAACAGTCCTCCTCAGGACGCGAAGCCTGACGGGCTGAAGGGCATCAAGGAGGGCGCCGAGGTGTAGGTGGGAGGCCGCTCTGCGTCGGATGGGACGTCGACGCACTCGCTGTGGCACAGATGGAAGCTCGGCGTGTTTCTGTGGATCAAAGTACGGGGCAGCTGCATTTCCGGCCAGTTTCGTAGCATTCACCGCACCCTGAGTTTGGTTTGGGGCGGGCGGAGTCGTGCCCTCGTTGGCGTTTTCGCACGAGGGTTTGGCAGTGCATGGAGGGGGAGAAGAACGCAGGTATCCCGCGGGGGAGGGTGGGAGCTGAGCAAAGGCCAGCACCTGCGGACAGTGGTTGAATAACCAGATGAGAAGCAATGCGCCGGGATTATGTCAAGGACTTGTGGGTCTCAAGCCGCGTGCCATCTCGGGGTACCCTGGTCTGTTGGGGTCGGGGCTTCACGGCCGGAGGAGAGGGATGGGAGGTACGTGCTGCCATGCGGAGGACGAAGGCAAAGCTGACACGTCGGAGTGGTCGAGGGCAGCGGCCCTGGTAGATCGGGGTGGCAGAACAAGTGAATTGAGCTGTGGATGAGCGATTGGGAACTGCATCTGTGGCGATGGTGGAACAGGCGGTGGGGTGCGGGGGTGGGATCTGGTGGGGAGAGTGACATGCAGTGGATGAGTGCGCATGCGAAGGGCCTGGGCCCGCCAGTTGCTTGGACTGGTTAGGGGGTTGTTCTCGTCATAGGTTGTGTTATTTGTACTGGTAATCTTGTGTACATAGTTCTGGGTGTAACTTGTATTTTATGAAATCTATTGATGCATCAAAGTTCACAATACTTTGGTTTCAAGTTTTCTTTGAGTTCGCGGTGCTACAATTTTAGTTGTTGTGATTTCGTGGTGGCTGAATGACGTTATGATGGTTTTGGCTGTGGGAGTTGAGGATTGTGGATATGTGTCCATGGAATCTTGCATTGCAATTTACGTCGTGAAGGTGTCTTTTTTTCTCACGGTCTGTGTTTACAAGGCGGTGGAGATGAGCCCCGCAAGTGTTAACACGTGGCCCTTACGTCCTGGACGGAATACGAACCAACCTTTCTTTTCACTGCGACTTCTTTTGTTCTTCAAGTTCGCTTACCTTGAGATGGGTATGTCTGATTTGCCTGTTTGCTATCCAACAAGGCATGAAGTTGTCGTAGTATGTGTTTCAAGACCTAATTTGGGAGACAGACAATTTTTTTCGAAGATTGATACTTTCTGGAATGTCTGGGCGACATCCATTCATGGGTGAACGCAGGGGTTAATTTCTTCTTTTGTGCTGTAGTTTATACGCTAGAACGAACATGAGTAGGCAGCGTAATTTGTGGCTTTCGTTAAGGGACTGAACTTGCAACCGGTCTGCGAGGCCTTGCGCCAGGTGACTGTCTGTGAAGTTGTGTGCATCCCAGTAAGATAAGACCATGGAGTTCTTTTTTGTTGTTGTGCTCATTGCAATCAAATCATAGAAACAGTCATATACACTGGCCTCAATTCATGCACGAAATGCGTTTCGGGTGTGGGCACATGCTTATACAGAAGCTCTACTGAATTTTGATGGAGTTCGATGTTGCAATTCGTTTTCAATACAATTATCGACCTGCACTTGTTGCTTCTTGGGGTGCAAGGTTTCCTGGCGTTTATTTTTGGTACCTTGTGGTTTTATCCCCCACCATGTCATACCGATGGTTTTGTCCTTCACAGTACTGTCATACATCGAACGGTCAAACGGAAAATCTGGAACTAGATGCTTTTATCTCGTAGAATGCGACGAAAAGATCCACCGCCCACGCTTTTGAAAGCCGCCAGACTCGTGAGTAACTCCCCATGTAGACTGATCGGCAATTTCGCTAACATAACTAATCGTGGCCAGGGCGAGATTCCTGGCGTCTTTTCCCGATACAGGTAATGAATGAGGCCCTACCCTCAGCTTTGCTGGTGCAGCAATTTGCATAGTGTGGAAGGAAGTCGTAACAGAATGCTTCACGAAGATGTCCACAACATTGGTTTCGTAGCCGCGGCACAGTGGACGAGAGCATCCACCCACTAGGTTGCTCGTGCTTGGAGGGTCCCGATGGTAGTTGTAACTGCGTGTGGACATATGATTCGTTTGCCTGAAGCACCTAACTAGAGTTGCTTGGCTTCCGGTTCTAGTGGATATTTTTTCGTAAGGCGTGAGATACAGATTTGTTTTCGGAGGTTGTTCAGGTAGGTTTGTTATGGCAAGCAAATTGCGGTAGGCTGTGCTTATTTGTTGCGGTGGGAACTGAGTGATAATAAGATCTTCAACTTTGGTTGATTAGTGAAATAATTTGTTTTTGGATTACTCATCCTTTGTTTCGATTGTGCAAGCACTGAGAACTATGTGTTCCACTGGTAGTAAATTGAGTAATCCTAGTGTCAGTCTGAAAGAAAAATCTGCAGTCGATACTTTAATCAAGGTTTAGAAAGCAGATAATGTAGTTGTGAAGATGTCCGTTCTGATTTGTTGTTTTATCCATATCAAAATTCTGAAGCATGGTGACAAAATATTTTTGTGGATTGAATCAACCCAGCTATTTTCTAATGAATAAATGTGTCATTTCAAATATAAAACTAGAAATTTAAGTCATAAATGATAATTTCAAAAAAAAAAATGAATGTATTAGTTGTTTATTTGATGGAGAAATCATTTTAACCAAGTCATGAAAGAACTTATAAAATCTAATCTTGTACAAAATAGATAGTTAAAAGTAGTTTAAAAAAATAGTCAAAATAGTTTAAAATAGTAAATTATGTTGTATTTTTTAAAATTATTTAGTACACATAGAAACAAGGTGATTGAATATATTTGTTTAAAAATGGTTATTGTAAACTTCATACCATGTTTAATTAAAATCTGATCAATAGAACAAAGTATAGAACTTTTTGTTTCATACAATTAAGTAAAATTAGAATTTCTTTACCAAATGATTTATATGACAAATTTTTTTGTTTATAAGATTTAAAGCATTTGTTTTTGATGATAGGATTCAATTGATAACTTTTAAGAGAGCATGGTGTTAAACAAGGGCACTTAATTGCACCATATTTATTTCTAATTATTGAAAATAATTTAGAATTCTTCATCTAAAAAGAGATGAATTAAATAAATTAATTTAAGAAAGATAAATCCAACAAACATAAAGCCAATACACTCATGGTTCAACCCTAATTACTAAAGATGAAGAAAGTTTAATAGAAAAAATATTTGACATCCTCCAAATCTTTAATATTGCATAAGTTGATATCTTTAGTATATTAGTAATATAATAAAAATGGTTTAAAACTTTTATAAGTCAATCAATATAAAAAGACATGGATCAAAAATACTAATTTAGTTTAAACTTCAAAATTTAAATTTTATTATCAAATCATAAATACAATATGAGATCCAAAGTATGGCTTAAAATTAAAAGATTGTAGTTTAAAATAGTTTAAAATCTATAAAAAACTGTTTTTTTAATCATTTCTTGAAGTACAAAAGATGTTCTTATAGTAAGATTCTAATATTTTATTTACAAATATTTGTATTAATTTACACAAGACAACTTAGTCTTACAAAATAAAAATGCATGGAATAAAGGATATTTGGAAGTAATAGATATATTATCTCATGCCATCAAAAGAAACTAAAATTAGATTCAATCTTATTTAAGATGTTTAAGATTTTTAGATTTTCTTCATAAATTACTGTTCTAATCTATAGTATTTTTTTCCAAGAGAAAATATGCTACAATCTAAGCCTAAAGATTGAATTGAAATTTACAACTCAATTAAATCTTATTTTTTAGCTTATGTCTTCTAAGTAAATAAAGATGTTTAATGTTATCAAATTTATTTTAGATTTATTATGTATTATTCAATTAAATTTAAAATATTTTGAATATATAAATAATTGTGACTTCTATACCATAGAAACTTTGTTGTTTAAATCTATTTTCTTTATCTATACAAGTATGAATCTATCTTAAGCTAAAAACATATAAAAGATTGTGGAAGTAATAAAAATAATTTTACATACTAAAGTAATCAAAATATATGAAGAAAAAAAAATTATATATTTTGGTGAAAATTTCAAGATAAATCTTTTTCTTCTAAACATACTACCAAAAAGTAAAGTTAATGATATGGCTTATTTTCCAAAAATAGGCCCATTTTTCTTTTTGAAAACAGCAATGCTTTTGGAATCTAATCAAACATGATAATAAGATGATTGAAATAGTTGGTAAAATTTTAATTGGAAGTATTTCTAATATTTTTTTGTATATATTGTCTATGTCCAATAAAGATTGTCATATACAATAAGTTTAGTGTCATAAACCAATATCAAATATGCAATCAAACATGTCTCTAAAATGCATAATAAATACACCTTTTAATGAAATATAAGAAATTACTATATAAGTCAAGTGTCTCTTATTCCATCAAATAAGTTTAGAAGAGTATAAATATATGTAGAAAGTACCAAGCTTTATTAAATGGCTAAATTACCATCTCTGAATAAAACTTATAATTACAAGCTCTCTAAAACATTGACAATACTTAACTTGATAAAAATATAAAATTAAAGATGGTTTCTCCATTCAATCCTTAAATCTTAAAGAAATGAAATCAATTTTTAGATGACAAATAGTAAAATTAATAAAAAATCTAAAAATATAAAGTATACTAATAGAATATAAATTAATCTATTATAATATTAATTTAATAATGCTTCATACTTGGTGCCATGCACAATGATAATTTTCATGTAAATAAAGATTGTTATACAAAAAAAATTAAAGTATAATAAAACAATATTAAATATATATTTTAAATATTAATTTCAAATATTAATTTTAAATACATAATAAATACATCTTTAAGGGCATCTTTTAGAAGATTAATAGTCTTTATCAACTAGAACTAATGTGCATACAAAATTAGGATTTTTTCTACAAAAACTATATACATTTAAATTATTAAAACAAAAAATGCATAAAAAGACTTTAGTTTTTTTCAATAGATAAAACATTGCTATACAACCTTCTAAAAAAATAAGTCCAATCACCAAAAGATAGATAGAAAGATGTAATATTAGACATGTTATATACTATCCACATTAAAAATGATCACACAACATAGTAAATGCCCATTTTTTCTTGCTGTAACTAAAGTATATAAGAACTTTTGACCAAACTATCAAATCAAGATGAACAAATCTATGAATGAGTAAGTTGTATTAAGTACAATTCTTAAAAAATTTCTAACACTCTCATCCATTCTTATCTTTTAATAACAAGATATTATTAAATAATACATCCTTCATACAAAGAATTGTATGCCATGCCTTGACATTAAGCATCATAAACACCTTACATTATAGATGAACATAGTCTAATAGAAAACTATTGCAATTAAAGTCACTAAGCTTTGCCACAAATAAGAATATATTACAAAAAGTCATAATGTTAAGCAATATGTAAGTTCTTTATGGCCATAGGCATGGTTTTTTTAAAGAACTTTGTTTAATCATACAAGCATTAAGTCCATATGTCAAGGTCATCTAAATTAACAATTGAAGTTAGTTTATCTTTCATTTTGTTAGATAAAATTGACTTTTATCTATATAAAAATTAATACAAGTTATAGAAAGTCAGTTATGTGTATCTTCTAAAATAATTTCTAAAGCTAGTATAATAATCAATTAATGCTTTAGTAAAAAAAAGCTTTTAAAATATCCAAAGAGCTCTTTACTTTGCTTAGACAATATTTTAGTTGATGCTCCAAATTTTGTTAATACATTATCTAAAAAAGCTATAGTTA